TGGATGGGTGGATGGGTGGATGGGTGGATGGGTGGATGGACGGACGGACGGACGGACTGACCGACCGATTGAGGGAGGGAGGGAGGTGCTAGATAAGAGATAGATTAATGGATAAATAGGTGGGCAGAAGATTGATTGGTTTGTTTGATAATTGAGTTAGAAATAGTTAAAGACTACGATATTTTATTTACCTTTTAGACATTGATGAGTGTGTAAAATACAAAAGTATATGCCCGAGCGGAAAACAATGTAAGAATGAAAAAGGTTCCTACTCTTGTCTTTCTCAATCGCAATGTCAAAATGGGTATAAACTGGTGAATGGCCGTTGTGAAGGTTAGTATGTAAAGCGCACTATGAGTGGTCTAAAACTGCGTTTCCTTGAGAATAAAGCACTGCGCTTTGCAAATGCCATTTGCGCGCCCATGTGAGTGTAAGAGAAAGGGTACTGAAAACTGCAAAGTAGTTTTTCTTTCTGCTAAATATAACAAAATAAACAACGCGTTCTTCGTCCTTCATTCAAGAATAGACCTCTTGAAGCACGTTGGGGAATACAGCTCACTATGTAGGGCAAAACAAAGGTTTCCAATTCTCAGGAGAACGAAATTCTTTTGTTTTGTGCTTCAAATTGAGCTCCATTGAATTCACTTGCCAGGAGGGTTATACGACACGTAGGGAGCGCCAATTACAAGTAAAGCCCGCCCATGGCTCGTGCTTTTCTTCACACACAATGCTTTCGTCACTTAGTGCGCCGATTTTTCCTAGCGGTTAATGACGTCATTTTGTCACGTGTTCAATTTTCTCTCCAGACATTGATGAATGCGTTGAATATAGAGTCAGGTGCCCAACAGGCCAAGTTTGTTCCAATATTCGTGGTTCGTACCGATGTGAAAGACGTCAGCAATGCACCTCGGGATATGAGTTTAAGAATGGTCGTTGTCTTGGTACGTATCTTTGGTGAAATAATATTTGTTGAAGTTCTTATAGCAGCACAATGGATTGATCGTTCTCAAAATTATCTTGGATGTTGGCATGAAAACACAAAAGAAATCAGACTTTTTCTAGCCACTACTTAATTCCCTGAGGTCATTAAATCTTGTTCTTGTTTTGATGGTTTAATAGATATAGACGAGTGTACTATTTCTAATGCTTGCCGCTCTGCTGGCCAACGATGTGAAAACTACGCGGGCTCATATCGCTGTGTCGACGTCGTTTCCCGCTCGTGTTCACGTGGTTACAAACTTGTCGATGGAAAGTGTGTGGTCTGTAAGTACTCAAACGATATTGATATTTTATTTTGATTTTATTATTTTATTTTATTATAAGTTTTTTCTCTATTTCTCTTTCACATGCATTATTTGACATTTATTGCCTAGAATTATTTTCATATAATCTATTACATATACACTCCTTTTAGCCTGTAAGTAGCTTAAAGCTTTTCGTGGCAGATTATTGGCAGAAAGAAAGATAGACATCTATAATTACTGACAATACRAAATATGATTATTAAAAAATGTATACCAATTTATAGACATCTTATCTTTTAATACTCGTATGTATTTATTCCTGTGAAATTTACACCAGGCTAATACACACGCTCGTATTCGTATTCCTAAGGGAGATCTGGTACGAAAATCTTAGCACGAAAACGAGGCTGGTGGGTCAATGTGTTTAGAAAACCAARACAATAACGACCTCTTTTCTTTGTGCGAGGGCGTGAGTGTTTGCTTTCCTTTTTGGGGGAGGGGTGGGGCAGGACTAGTCTCGTTTTCACGCTGACCAGTTCCAGTCTATTCTGATTAGGAGTACTATACCCTAACACAATTCGTCGATAAGGCTAAGGCTAGTAATTCACCTATTACGCATCTTCTGATTCGTCAATACTTCGTCTTCTGCGTTCAAGTCTGAACGGTTGGATCTTACAGACGTTTGCACACAGGTATACAGCACAGATTGACATGATAGGCTCTCGTGATTGATTGCAAACTACAAAGATTGGCTATGAGTCTATTCACAATTATTATCTCGTTGGTGTCTTTGATATTTTTATCTCGATGTTCAATTAGTCTTTAAAGCTTTAGCGCTAGATTTTATGGTTTTAAGTGTCAGCTTATCGTTCACCTTCACTATAGCGTCCTGTGCTTTCTTGGCGCATCGATCGAGGCATAGTACTTTGTTGTCATGGAAACAGAAAGCTTCGCCGACGACTAGTCGCTTTCGGCACATTTGGCATCCAAAGCATTCGATGTGGTAGGCATTTTCCCGCGCTCGCATGACCAGCTCGAAGGCTGCGATTGGTTTACTGCATTGTGAGCATTTCCCAGGAATACCAAACAGCCTGGGAAACGAAAGAAATGAGGGAATAAGTATCAGTTAAGAACAGGTTGAGGGTACCCTTATCCACACCCCCGGCTATCGAACCAAGTGTGTGAAATCTTGTTGCATCATCCAACTCAGTCACACTTATATATAATCTTATAATTCATATATAACCAACATAGAGGTCAAGATTGAATTCATCTTACCTTAGATAATCTCGCTTGCAAAGAATTAAGTTAGATTTACAATAAAGGCTGGACCCGATATCACCAAGTCTGCACTCACAGCACGCACACTTCAAGCACCCTTCATGCCAGAACGAGTCTAATGCCTTCAGTACGTATCGATCAGTGATTGGCTGATTGCAGGCTCGACACATCCGTTGATTAGTTTGGATGTCTTGGATTGCTACGTCAACAGAATCTAAATGAAATAATTACTATATAAGCGACAATTGGCATTATATTATTGAATGAAAAAAGCGCAGGAATTTCGCAGTGACCGTAGAAAACGTAACTCATCAAGAACTAAGCGCGCAAAGGATCTTGGGTCAAAAAGTATCAGTATCTCTGTTCATGTCTTTTTCTCGTTTGAAAAAAATTGGAAACTATTTCCAAAACCAGTCTTTAGCAAATCCTCAAAGAAATCTTCAATAACTGGACTGAAAATAATATAAACACAACAATGGATGCATGCTGGATTGAAGAAAGGTTTGAATAACACAACACTTCGGCTATAGTCCTCAATTACTAGTTTTACTAAGAAAGTGAAAGTAACAGCTTACAAATCGTAATATACATATACGAAACTGTGAAAATTGTCGTATTTTCATTTTTCATTTTTTAGCACACGTTTAGAATAAGTAACGCGTAAGATAACACAGAAAAAAATACGCTATTACCTGGATACTTTGCTATTTAATTAAACTGTCGATAACAATCAACTATCCATTTCTGTTTTTTCTTATGAATTTTTAAAATTTCTTAATTAATTTCTTTGCCATTTCACTTGCACCAAAACACATGTGTATCCATATTCCTGTTGGATTGTACATAGTTGATGCTTTCAATCTTTCTTCTTCCTGCATAAGAGTTATTTATTAAGTCCACTAGAAGGAGGTTTCTAATTATGGCAGGAGAGATAATTTTTGTGTCGATATTGTATTTTGACTTTAATAGTTCCGAATGTGACAATTACGAAATTTAGTCTTAGTAGAAAGCCCAGGAATAGACTCTTATTTACTTACATAAAGACAGAAAAAAATAGGATTTATAAAATTTTTGAAGACATATATTGGTCTGTTTGTAATAGCAAACTCAGTCCAGTTTCTCAAGCAAACGGTCGATGAATATGTATTTATATTTATAGGATATAAATGACTCATTCTTTACCGTACCGTTAAAGCGATGATTTCAGCGAATATTTAATAGTGTAGTTGTAAACTGGCCAACTTCTTATTTAAATTGGTTATCAGCTGTCTACAACGTTTTATAAAGTTGTTTCGCTTTTTTAACCTAGCCTAGTTTAGTAGCAGTCGAAAATACTCGGTGGGATTCTTTGGTCAACGTTATTATCAATAATTATAACATCTCGCTCTCGTAGACCTTAAAAAACTGCTAACCATAGTTTACTTGACATGTACTTACTCATTTTTAGTACTGCTAGTGCGACGTGCTGAGGAATTAGGTGGACCTCGGAGTGTTTTCTCTCTCGATCTCGTAGCCGTAAACTACTTCGGTGTACTTTCAGACAAAGCTAGAGATCTACAGCATTACCGCCGCGAGGCAAAAACACAAGTTTCTTATACAATTGACAGCGCTTTCTAAATTATTTATCTTACTAATTGCCTCCCATTTTTATATTCCAGCTAATTGAAAAATGCTTTTTGTCACGTCAGCCTCAAACTAATATCCGTCTAACCAGCTCTATGACAATTCTTTTTATTTCGAAGAGAATTAAACCGTCAACAGCAAAACTACTGGCTTTTCTAAGGCTTCTTATGGCAGACAGACGAGTTTAGAAGTGTTTTGTACCTCGCTTTAAATTTTGTTTGGCCATTTGGCCATTGTCCGAATGATAATTAAAATGAAAACAAAACAACAACCACAAATAATTAGCGTTGATTGAATTGCCTTGACAATATTGATCTGACGTTTTGGTTCAATTCATATCTCTAATTAAGCCGACTTTCATAAGCCGAACTCTGATACTTAGTAAACAACACATGTGGATAGAGAAGGAGAAGTTTTTTTTTGTTGCCATTAAGTTGAGTGTTCAAAGGCGAGAGAAGAAGTAAAAACTCATTTTTGATCATTCTTAATCTGTATAAACTAGTTCATCGCTGTATCCGAAAAACTCTTTTCTTTTAAACACAATGCATTTCTATCCATTTGTTATTCTCTACGCATCAGGCATTTATTCAGGAACCAATTCGATACTACATACATAGTTTTTCCTTTAAGAAAATACAATTTTGCTTCGCCATTTATGACACACTCTCTTAATCAAGCCATAAAAAAGTTCATGCCTGTTTTCACCAACTATTAGAATAGCACTATTTGAACAGAACAGTTATTGACGTTTTCAATGGAAAATTAACGATTTTGTAAGCAATTCATTAGTCAAAATAAGGCTAAAGCTTTTAGACGAATTCACCCAATTTAAATTTCTTTTCCATTTTCGAATTCGTACTCGTAGACTATTAGACTGACCGCGTACTCAACCAATATATAATATATTAATTTTGGTGTAAACAAATAGATTCAGAATTCAAACTTCATCTCGGCTACAGCTGCCAGTGTACTAGTTCGATTAATCATAATTATCAACACAAAAACCAGAGATGTGTGTGGGCATAATTTATAATTATCGCATTGACTTGTGACATTTCTTTTTTGTATTCAATAATGCTTAGCTTTGAACAAATTTGTTCACAAAATCAACCAAAATTACTCTTAAACATCGATCAATCCATTTTCATTCACTTATTATAGGTAAAATTCAGCTGGATTTTGCTGTGTGTGTGAGAATACTATTAAAAATGTGAGTGGTGTGTGAGTTAATGTTGATGAGAGACGACTGAAGACAGTGTACGTCTGGGCTGCGGTAATTGCTATGTATATGGATCTTGAGTTAACAAAGAAAAACCTTTTACTGTCTTCAAACTCATTAGTCTATCTGGCAGACTACAAATATAACAACACATGCTGCATTTTACCGGCTTGCTTTCAAGGTTTTATTTTCGGGCTTGTCTCACTTATCTCGTTTTTTCTTTACTTTTCCAGTGCCATAGAACGCATAATTCGTGTTTGGAAAAAATAATATTTAATTTATTTAGCATGCATATTTTAAAAATTATTTTCTAAAATAATCTAGAATAAACAAATGTTAAATTTCGTTTATTATTTGTAATTTGTTACTAGGATTTTAAAATATCTATCTATCCCTCCCTCCCTCCCTCCATCCATCCATCCTGATATTGCCAATCGTCTATCCCATCCATCCATTCCACTCCATGCCATTCATCCCATCCCTATTCTCAATCATGTGCACCTGTCGCCAGTCGTTTATTCTTAATATCCCCAAAACACCTTGGATTACGTTACATCATATTTATTCAACTTAAAATGACGGGTTGTTATTCGATGCAGCTGACGACCCCTGCGCCGATATCCTATGTCCAAGTGGATATGAATGTAAACTCAAATCCAACAGACCGGTTTGTAAAGGTATGATTGCATGATAAACTTGTCCCACCCCTCAACGCATCGACACCCTAAAGGCACTGACACACGGTGCAACATTGCGCGCGACATTGCAGGCAATGCTGCTGAAGTAGGATAGTTTTCTACTTCAGCAACGTTGCGTGCAACAAATTGCGTCGTGTGTCATGGCTCGCAACATCAATTGACCTAATTCACTATGACGTCACTGCTTGTTTATGTCGGGGATAGAATCGCCAAATCCAATAGAAAGTTCAACTAAATTTGCTCCTAGCGGAACAGTTTAATCTAAAATGGCCTGGTTTTCAGATATAATATGTGTTAATATGTACTAAAAAAATATTCTGAGCGTTTGCTGGCTATTCTACTTCTCTTCGTGGAATGATACGGGATTTAAAACAATTTTCGGTTAGTTTGCGTTGATTTGACCCCGTCCGACGACCATGATCCTTTGCGTTTAAACAATAGATTGTTGAAGATTGTTTTGATGTGACGTCATAGTGAAGTAGGGCAATTACATGCAACATTGCGCGCAATGTTGCACCGCGTGTGTACGTAGCTTAAGACGTTATACAAATTCATAGATTTGATCTCTGGCAACAATCAAGTGTAGAAAGTCCATACATGTAATTTTTCTCTCTCTTAGATATCGACTAATACCTCTTTGGTCCCACCCCTCCCCCCAGCAACACCCTGAGACGTTATACATATTTATAGACAGGAAGCCCACACAAGTATCTGTTTTCGTTTTAGATATCGACGAATGTCTTAGAAACCCGTGTAAACGCGACGAAACGTGCGTCAACAAACCTGGTACTCACCTGTGCGTATGCAAATCTGGTTACGAAAAAAACCAGTTTGACCGCCAATGTAGGGGTACGTATATCCAGTCTTTGCGCAACACAAAAAAGTTTTTCAGTGCTTATGGGAGACTGGGTGCTAATCGGCTGCGCGGCGACTGAGTAAAGCATTTCGGTATAGACCCCTTGCATATGACATCAAAGCAGCGTGTGGGGGACAAAAAAAAAAAACAACAACAAACAAACAAACAAACAAACAAACAAAAAACAAAAACAAAGAAAAGAAAAGAATTTTAATCTCCTTAGAATTGCAATTTATTGTTTTGTCCTGCATTCCAAAGTTCTGCATCTAACTGCCATCTAACTGCTAGCCCTTCTCAGCTGGGCTTGAGACAGTTTCTTGAATGCCTCAATTTCCCCACTAGCTCGGCATCGGCCCTGATGCTCTGAGCTAGAACAATTTCATACACCCAAGGGCAGAAGGCCTTAATTCCCATCAGGGTCCGAAGTCCATACGCCGCCTCAGCTCTGCGGCCGATGTCTCGGGGGTATGGCACAATAAAATCGAATTTTTGAATTTCCTTTTTTGGAATTAGGTTGGAATCTCACCGTATCCACATGAGATATTTTTATTCATTTCATGATCTTTGATCTTCAAATTATTTGCTTGATCGTATTTTATTCGGAGAAAAACGTTTTTAATTATTAATTTTTTTCCTTCCATATTTAATGTCGACCCCCGCGCTAAACAAATATAAATTAGGAGTAAATTAAAAGAAGGACATGATAACAGCAATAATATTTTTCTATTTTGATTGCAGATATTAACGAGTGCTTTAGAGGATATTGTGAACACAATTGCGTTAATTCACCCCCTGGATCATTCACGTGTTCCTGTCATCCAGGCTTCAGGCTGGATATTAACAAAAGATCATGCATTGGTATGTCAGTACATGATGATGTGATGATGTGATGATGATGATGATAATGATGATGATGATGGTGGTGATGGCGATGATGATGATGATGGTGGTGATGGCGATGATGATGGTGGTGATGATGGTGATGATGATTATGATGGTTGCTGATGATGATGGTGGTGATGGTGGTGATGGTGATGATGATGATGATGGTTGGTGATGATGATGGTGGTGATGGTGGTGATGGTGGTGATGGTGATGATGATGATGATGATGATGGTTGCTGATGATGATAGTGGTGATGGTGGTGATGGTGGTGATGGTGATGATGATGATGATGATGGTTGGTGATGATGATGGTGGTGATGATRATGATGATGATGATGGTTGGTGATGATGATGATGGGGATGGTGGTGATGATGATGATGGTGATGGTGGTGGTGATGATGATGATGATGGTTGCTGATGATGATGGTGGTGATGTCGGTGATGGTGATGATGATGATAATAATAATAATGATGGTGGCGCTAAAATTCATTATACATAATGGGGAGAGAGCTAGAAGGAGGATAACGTCTTGCCGTTCTACTTTAGATATAGGTGTATCTGAGGGGGTTGGAGTTATATAGGGCCCATGCATGCTTGGAATGGATTGGTTTGAAAGCTCAAAATGTGTTATATAAGACTTTGTAAAGGTTTAGAGTTATCATAATCCCCACCACCCAGATCCTTTCTTTCCATTTAACGTCCTCGGCACGCCTCACATGATTTATTTAATTAACGAGGGAGAGGAAAGAACGTCATTACATATATCGGTCATCGTTTTTGTGGTTTATATCTTGGGCGTATTGTTTTCTTGTTTCAGACCAAGTGTCATTCTCTTGAGAATAAATTCATGTGTCTTCTCATGCGCAACCATTAAAGCAAAGAAATGATACGCTATAAGGAATGGCACATGGTCTGAAATGGGGAAACATTGCGCTTAATTAATGTGATGGTGTCAATACACCTCCTCTGCTCCGGTGTAATGTTTTCCCATTGTATTTCTGACCACCTGACATTCACTTGAGAATAAGATTCTTTGTTTGAATGGTATTCCTATTTATGAGTCTCATCTCATGCGCAACCATTAAACAAATAAATGATACTCTAGGGAATGACATGTGGTCTTAAATGGTTAAACATTACGTTCAAAGTAATGACGGCTATTAGTTTTTTGGTAACGTTAATATTTCTAATCCAGGTCTTTTGTTAATTCCTTCATAGATATTAACGAGTGTGCGACTCAAAGGCCTTGCCAGAATGGCCGTTGTACTAATACGCGAGGCAGCTACTACTGTTCTTGTCATCAGGGATTTAGGCTAACTGCTAATGGCCGCTGCGAAGGTATGTTCTGATCCTGAACGCAACGACCTTTTTTGCATTATGTGAATGATGATACATGATGATGATACATGATGATGATACATGATGATTATACATGATGATGATACATGATGATTATACATGATGATGATACATGATAATGATACGTGATGATGATACATGATGATGATACATGAGAATAACACTTGATGATGGTGGTACATGATGATGATACATGATAATTCGTGGTAATGATCGATGATGTTGATTCTCATGGTTCTTCGTTACGATGCTCCTTCTGTGATCGATGATGATGATGATGATGATCATAATTAATGTAATTGATCACAACCCTATAATGTTTTTCAGACATCGATGAATGTAATGCAAACGTCTACGGAAGGCCTTGTGAATATAACTGCACCAATATTGTTGGAAGCTACAGATGTGAATGTCCATCAGGATATGAACAAACAGCCGATAGACATTCATGCCGTGGTATGTTGTTCACCAATAGTAAATATGGTTATGCTGATGCACCTCTCAGTTCAAAGGAGGGTGGGGTGGGAAGGGGTGGGGTGCGGCCGGTGGTAGGAAGGGGAGAGTGTGGAGTTGGATGAGTGTTCATGTTCCTTTTACTTTCGGTGATTGTTGGGAGACCGATCTATTTTCATTTAATCCTTATTCCTAATGTATTTTAAACCAATCATAAAAATTCGTTACAAACAATGCGAAATGCCCCAGGGGGGGGGGGGGGGGGGGGGGGGGGGGGGGGGATGAAAAATGTGCAGATTTCGTACTTAGTTGAAGGTAACCAAGATTTATGCTCTTTTGAGCTAGAAAACGGAAGACTACCTTGAACTACAAAGTCCAAGGAAGTAATACACATTTTTGCATTCTTTGTAAATCATGATTAAGGCTGCCTGTTACTTTTGCAAGGCGACTTCTTGTTAAAAATACTATATTCCCCCCCAGATATTGACGAGTGCAAACAAGGTTCAGCAATCTGTGGTCGTGGGACGCTCTGCCGTAACACTAATGGCCACTACCGATGCATTCCATTCTCCTGTCCTCGGCCCTATTATTCATTGCAAGGTGATAGGTAGGCATGGCTTTGACTCGTTAAGTGCATATGTCACATCAATCAATATTTTCATCATTGATTCTCGTGACCTGAATAGTTAGATAGTAAAATATTCTTACATGATTTGAGTGATGGATCTTTGAATGCCGGTTTAGACGGTACGATTTTCGCCTACAACTATCGTATACAACACGCTCGCGTCTGTCGTAGGCGAGTTGTAGACTTGATTTACACGCTACGACTGGAGTTGTAGGATGGCGCGAGCGTGTTGTATACGATAGTTTATACTTCCAATATGTTAATGAGTGTGACGTCAAAAGAGGCATTATTATTATTAAATATACGAAACTTTTCTGGGGCAGTAAAATATTCTGTATAAAAAATCATTGTCTTATTCATACAAGGTTTATAGAAAGATCATTGCAAGTTTGTTTTCTCATAATAATCAGTGGTTCAATTAACAAATGATGACAAATAAACTCAAATGCCTCCTATGACATCACACTCATTAACATATTGGAAGTATAAACCATGATATATCCAAGACGCATCACTCAAATTCATGTAAAAATATTTTATCAACCATTAATCCATTCACTTATTGTAGAATGAATGCTGAAATTCTTGATTTGGATGCCACAGACACTTAAATAGGAGACCAAACCTAACTAACCAGATTCCAAAAATCCGCAATCCAGCCAATCCATATTCCTTTAGAGAGAAAACTGCAACTTTGGTTTTTGTTTCTTTACAGTAAATGTCTGCGCAATTGTCCTGAAGGCGACCGAGCTTGTTCGCAATTAAAGGACAAAGTGTATCAGTTCTGGACCTTCAATATCGTAGTTGGTTCACCACCAGGGAATATATTCGCCTACAAAATAATTGCTCAAGGTATGGTAACAAGGAAATGATGATTTACAGTTTTGCAGGGTTAATTATAATCTCTAACCACACTATAGAGAAAACCGTTTGCGCATGCGTGCCTTTCAGCACGTTTTCTAAAAATTTAGAGTTTGAGTGAGAAAATAAATGTTCGTTTTCTCCGAGTATACAAAAAAATTCGCGAGTGTAATGATAATATGAATTAGCCTCAATTACCCCAAGTTTTGGCATTTTCTGAAGTCCATTTATCAGGCATGTTTGAAAGTCAAATTTACATATTTTTAAAATAGTACGTACACGTTTCGACGAATTTGCATACGGACTTAGCGCATGCGTAGACGTTTTTCACTTGTGTCATCTCCACCTCCCGCATTGCACTTCCCGTGGTTGTATGAACTCTATGTAAATGACTTACAGCAAACCTTATTTGAAACTAATTAGCAATTAGTCCTCGAGCCCGAATGGGGTATTGACTAAGGCCATGAGGGCGAGAGGACTTATTGTTTTAAGGCGCGATTACACGGTGAATGCAATTTTCTCTGCAGACACAAGTTTTAGGAGTGATTACATAGTGATTGATTAGAACGCAGCACTGATGATAGGCTACTAGTTGGATTGGACTAATTATATTTATATACATTAGTATATTGCTGATAGACCCATTCGCCTTGGGGTTAACGGTTTTCCATTTAAAACCACGTGTTTGCCATTACTTCAGGACAAAATATTTATTTGTTTTCTGTGGCATTATCCATATTAACTTCATTTCAAGCATTACCTGTCAACAAAGAAATCATAACAAAGAGAATGACACGTGGTTAAAAAACGAACACTGTTCCCAAACTGAACAAGTCCATTAATCCCACATTTTATAATTTGATTCCTAGGCTACAGGAAGCCAGATATTCGGTATAGATTCCGGAGAGGGAACGAACTAGGTCATTTTGAGATCAAACGCGTTGGTGCCGACCAAGCCCAGATATGGAACCGCATTACCTTCAGACAAAGGCATGATTATGTCTTAGAATTTGTTGGAGAGTTGTTTGATGGGGGAGACTTGATCTCTAGATACGTACACACTCTTTATGTATTTGTCTCGGCGTATAGATAGGTTGGTATAAATAACTAGCTCTAGATCTAGCTAGGCTAACCAGCTTTACTTGTTAGTTAGGCGGCAGTATTAGTTAAAGGCAATCCTTGCTAAACCGATAAATGAATGACTGCATTTGCAGTTAACGTGTTCAGCAACACCTGACAATATTAGGGAACACATTAAAACRAAATAATGCAACGACTTTTTTCCCACTCATATAAAATCTGTAGTAAAGAAAGTAGCATCATTATGATACCATGTGTAAACCAAAAGATCGATGTCACGACGTGTAACGAATTTCTGTTGTAATGGGGAAACATTATATGATAATCTGTATAGGAAATCGCACGATATTCTCGTACAATTCGGAATTTATAGGTACGAGTTAGTGATGGTTTTCAAAATTGAAAGAGCCTTCAGGCCAGTCCAGTTTGAGAACTTTCATCACGAGTATCTATAAATTCCGAATTGTACGAGAATATCGTGCGATTGTTTATAATCACACTCAACAAAATTGAGAAACTTAATTGGGACTCTACAAAGTACGATTTTGGATTTAATTGTACTCCTATTGTCCAATCAGAGCCAAGTAAATTTGTTGAGTGTATTATATGATTTGAAATCCGAACAGCCCGATGAACACACCAAACTTATGTTACAAGATATTAAAAATAACGTAAAAAAAGCAATTATAGGTAAAAAATATACAATAGTGAGTTTTAATTAACTCCAACAGTTGTTGGCTGTTTGATGCCACTGAGACGTCAGCAGATAAGACCTAACACAAATAGGAGAAGCCTCGCGTCATCATGAGGTACAATGACTCAAAAGGGGACATGTTATAAGTTAGACGACTTGCTGCAAATAAGAAACTAGTTCCTGCATGGGTGCTAGACGAGCTGCTACAAATACAAAACGAGTTGCTGCAAGGTAGACGAGTGCTGCAAATAAGAAACGAGTTGCTGCAAAAAAGAAACAAGCTGTTTCTCAAGTCGCAACTCGTCTAACATGCAGCAACTCGTCTAACATGCAGCAACTCGTTTATCTTTTGCAGCAACTTGTTTATTATTTGCAGCAACTCGTCTATATAACATGCGACAACTCATTTCTTATTTGCAGCAACTCGTCTAACATGCAGCAACTCGTCTAACATGCAGCAACTCGTTTCTCATTTTCAGCAACTCTCAAACGTGCTGCATGTCCCTTATGGGCCAACGTGCGTAAGTGAGGGGCCCTCAGCTATAAAGTGATCGGTGTGATTCTAAAACATGGTGCCTAAAAATGGTTCAAAGATAACTATATAAAAAAAAAGATAACTATATGGATACTGGTTTTTGATTTAAACAGAAAGCATCATGTCGTGCCAAGTTTATCAACACCTTCTTAGCATCACTAACGCATGCAGACTTCATGAACTCGAGTCTCTTATCGTACGTAGTCTTGTCTGTAGGTGGAGCTGAAGGAATCCTTTGATAGCAGATCCAGAAGATCAGAAGTTTTCAATCCATTTTTTACTGGAGGTAAAATAGGAAAAGGCTTCCAAACTGTGACAATCTGCGGATTGAATCAAATAAATGAATGTCAAGAATAGGACAAATGGCCATCTTAAAATAGCTGATCCTTCAATGATAGGTAACAGTGTTTTTTTTTTAATTTGAAAGAAAAGGAAATAGCGCTTCTTTGAATGAGATGAAGGGTTCTGCATGAAGCAAGAATGGGAATTTACCACATTATACTATGACTCTAGGTATCTTACAGTGAAGTTAGTTTGGTATTGCCTTAAATATATCGTAAAGCCCCAACGGGGTTGATTCATTATTTTTATTGCTCAAGAAGTCCAAAGCTCTGGCATTTTCCAAGTTTTCTAGTTAAGCATATTACACTGAGTACTATGTCGGGTAATGGGTCAAGTCGTAAGTATGGCGTACCTGCTCTGGTCGTGTGTATGGTAGGAGCACGTTCCTTGGATAAGTGTCCAGTACGTTGCCTCTTCTCGTTGGTGGGGGAGACCTCTTTTTCAACGGTTTGGCTGCAAAGTCTATTGAATATCCACTTGGTCCTGGTCTATGAGGAGGTTGGGCAGATCATTTAGGGCTGAAAGAGTTTATGAAGCAAAATAGGTATTAAAAATAAGCAACCAGTCTGATCAAATTTTAGCTATTTTAGATTACTTTGCACCTAGTGACAACAACGGTCTCACCAACCGACCTGCGTGATACGATCACCTCAGTATGGCTAAACCAGTTAAACCGARCTGTTGCGAATATGTGAATATGGTTTCTCTAGTCGGAACCCTTAAACATGATTTCAAAGAGTAGCGTGACTAACCCAGTAAAAGAATACGTACCGACAGCTAAGAGCAGGAGCACCGTGTTCACCTTTGTAACTAGAACGAAAGGTTGTTGTCAAGGGTGACGATGGTTGCAACTCTTGGTCCGACAAGCCTATGATCATTTCAAAAAAAAAACAAACTTGCTATTCTTAGTCACAGTGATATTCTTATTTAGACAACAAAACATCTTACAAAGCAACAACAAGAAATGTTCATAAACGTTGGCTTGAATCGCTGCGCAGAATGTCATTATTCCATTAGTCTTGAAGATTTGTACTAAATATAAACACACTGTTTAATCGAATACAGTACCTCTGTCTGCGTTGACATTTTGAACGTCAAACTGATGCCATCTGACAGCCTTCAGCTTCAAGTCTGAAAAATCCTTGAAATCTTCCCTATATGTACTTAGTCCTTTATCTTTTTCAAGCGTTTGAGTCTTGTCCGCATAAATACCTGTCAAAAGAATATATAAACGAAATTTTTGAATATCAGATGTTGATTATTTTTGTTACGAAAAGTACTGTTTATTAAGTATGACGAAGGTTGCCATGGTATGAAATCCTACCTTTGGTTTTGTTTGCTTGTGGTAAAACTATTCCAAGTTTTTTCAAACAGCTGGGTAGTTCATTTTTATGGTGTGGCTTTATCTGCTTCATGTTTGACGCTGTTTTCTCAAAACATCATATGATGCTATCATGGTTAGAAGTTTGTATACAAGGTAAGTACTTAACATTCGCTAAGTACTCAGATGTGTTGAAAGTCGCACTCAATTTGCACTTTGCGTATTATGCAGCAATGACCTATTCTTCTTTAATCTCTAGAGGATGATACGACACAAGACTAACGGAGGAGAGGTGGGGTCATTGAATGTACACGGTACAAGACTAACGGGGGAGGGGTGGGGTCATTGGGTGCACCTCGAAATAAAGCATTCTCGTACCAAGACCACACGTTCCTCTTGGTCATTCTGGGTACTGACCAAGAGGAAGCTCTGGGTAGGAGATTGAAAATAAAGTAAAGGCAATTTTTTCAATACTTGTCAATAAAGCTAGAGTTTACGAAGGGAAATTAGGACGTTAAAAACTAGGAAAATAAAGCTAAAATTTTGTTGGCAGAAATTACTAGTTTTTGTTTGCTCAGCTATGGTCCTGAATTCCAAAACACCTTCGTGACGATTTTGTGACAGTCACGCTTATATATAACTGAACTACCGTGACATGCCTAATGAATGCTTTTCAGTTCATTATGTTAACTTCAATCTTTTTATTTCTTTCTACTTAAAATGGAATTAAGTGCCTAGAAAAAAAATCCAAAGGAGTTTTACGCAACTAGCTGCGGCATGATTAATTATTAAGCTAATATTATCTACCCCTAATCGTATGAAATGGTAGCGTGGCCGAGCGGTCTAAGGCGCTGGTTTAAGGCACCAGTCTCGTCAGAGGCGTGGGTTCGAATCCCACCGCTGCCACTAATATTTTTCTTTTAACTTTCGCACCCTTTTATGTTCTTTAAATTCTATTGCTTCTCTTTTTTAATTAAATGTATCTATTTTTCAGTTAGTATCACCTTCAATACTTCAATTTTTCATATATTTATGGTCATACATATACAAATATCATATTTACATCATTAATACCATTCATTTTTATTTTTTTGTTTTTAATAAAATTACTAAAAAACCCAGTTACACAACAACAGACAGGTTAAAATTATAATGTAAATCACATTTTAAAACTTTTATATACAGAAAACAACCCTAAATAGACTTGGAACGGAACCCGACCTCGACCTATATGGAATAAGCGAAGTGGAATTCATAAACCAAGGGACTCTGGATTTTGGGATCTTTAGTTAATCGAGAACTGAGGACCCCTCTGCTTTAGTTTTCGTATTGTCCATTTTCCTTATGCCAAAAGTTATCTCTCCTTTCTCTAGCTTTCTCCAGCATTTTGGATGCCGTTGATGCACGGCTAGCCATAGACACCTCTGACATAACATCATCATCTCTGTGTTTTGCCACGTATGATCCATCTTGACTTCTCACACTCAAAGGAACTGTCTGTCTATGATGTCCATTTACAGGACCTTTTTTCTTTTCATCTGAAAATGTAAGAGATTTTCTTAGCTTTTCGTTCAGGATGTTGGTGGTCATATCATAATGGTGTCTCCTTGCTTGTCCAGTTTCTCGTAGTTCTGGGGTTGGTGAACGGCCTCGCTCAAGAAAGAATTGATCTGCTGTAGTTTCTGTTGTTCCTGAGTAAGAAGTTGAAAATGACCTATCTGACTCTACTGGTGAAGGTGGTCTTTTCCCCCAAGCTTCTCTTCTTGGTGGTGGTCTCTCATCTTTGATGACATGTTTCCTCATTTYCTCATTTTCTCTTTTTCCTTCCTTGTGTGCATTTCCATTTGTCCTTTTATTCTTTTTGGAAGAATGACTGACAGAGGTTTCAGAGACTGATGACACAGAATCTTCATGATCATCAAGATATTGGGCATTTAGTCGATTCTGATGATCAAGTTCCTCTCGAGAAAAGTGTGTTCCTCTTGCTTGCTTTGCATAACCATATGCCTCATTACGTCTTGTAATGGCCTGGATAAAACATACTTAATGTTAGAATAGTACAATTAAAAAGCATTTATAAACATTGTCTTTACCTCTTTGTACCAATCCAATTTGTTCTTAACCTATTGGATAAAAAAAGCCATAGATTAAATAACTTTCCACACATACTTTACCATCCTCTCAATCTTTTACTACTCATTTGCAGGCTATGTTTTTAAAAATTTTTACTGAAATAATTTTTTAAAATATGAAATTGGTGAAAAAATCTTGCACTTACAGGGCTTGGACGGCCTTGGAATTCTGGAGACTCAATCCACGCTCCATCAACATACTTAAATCGGCTGCTATATTCTGAGTCAAATACCCTAGATCATTAAAAAAGGTAAAGATATGGGTAAGTAATTAAGTAATCAAAACGGGAAAATCATTAATGTGTGTGACTAAGGCTGAGCAAAAAGAAATCGAAACTGGAGTATACCTGGCATCTTCTCTCTCAGGTGATTTCAAGTACTGTGAGTTATCAGAAGGTTGTATGAGTCTTTTGTCTCCAATACTTGTCATCGTTTGTATGCCAGCAGGAGCCATGCGATCTGGAGTAATACCTCATTGATAAAAATTCATTTTTAGATATCATAAAATTATAATGGATAAAGAACAAATTTACCTCCTATTTTTACCAAATAGAAAAAAATATCAAAATTTTTATCAAAAGAAATAACACTAAAAGGGTTATTTTACAAGTAATTACCAAATTTTTTCCCACCAATAGCAAGCTTAGTCTTTTTACCTCTTATTGGGGATTTTTCAATTTTACTTCTGTTGGTAGTCTTGCTTTTGCGTCCATTCGCCCCAAAGTCTTGATCATAGGTGCTTCTTCTTTTGACTCCATCAGGTACATATGGATATCCTCTTGGTCTTTCTGCTGTGTTTCTCAATATTTTCTTTTCAGCAGCAAGAATTGGAGACTCTGTTCTATGAAGGTCACTACTTTTGGCCTAAGTTTAACAATGAGAAAGAAAGATATTAGCTGACCAGTACTATTAGTGGTAACACACATGTCTCGGTTTGTTTAGCCATTTGTTGGTAAAGCACTGGCCATCAATCTGCAATATGTCAGATGTCAAAATAATAATTTTGATGTAAACAGCTGCAGTGGGAGGGGGTATATTCTGAGGGTACTGGGGTGCCTGTGAACTGGTTGGTGAAGGTCAATGTCAAGCGCTTAGTACCAACCTGGCACACATAGATAGACAAAGGTGGGGTATCTGTGATTCCTTTCTCTTGTGAACATTAGGGGAGTGGGGGTGGGGGGAAGTGGGGAAGGAATCGAGGGGTGTGCTATACATCATATTGAAATATGATTTGAATAATTATGTATTGCTCTGGGCTGACTAGCGACTGCATGACTAGCCTCTCACTCATGTGAAAACACTTCCACATGAACACAAGGCTAGTCGGTGGATAAGTCAGTGCAAAACTATAGATTTAAATTGGTCACCATATTTCTATTTGGTGTATAGAGTTTGCACATCAAGTTTAGACCTACTTTCATTGATGCATGAGTCTCCTTATGTCTTGATGGAGGTACTCGTTCAGTTCTTGAAGTATTGTCGACATCCAGCCATTCCCTGTCTTGCAGCTCTTTTATAGTGCCAGTTGGAAATATATTATGATTTTTCTCATAAGGAACTATTCGTTTTCTTTGTAATGGCGGTTCATGAATAACTCCAAGTTGTGTTGACTGGAGCCCTGCCCTTGGAGTTGATGAAATACTCTGTATGTCGTTAGGAATGATTGATCTTGTGAGCTCTCCCTTGACTGTGTTGGGACGCTTTGACTCAAACTTCTTGTAATGACTCTTGTATTCTGAGCTATACCTCTACGAAAAAGAAAATATAATATATTTTAATAAATAAACTTGAACATTGCTGTGTGCGTTTCCTTAACATTTGTTAATAACAGAGAACAATCTGAGCAAAATGAACTTAACTAATCTTATTATATGGATTATGAGTTCAATTAGTGGTTATATAATGCGAAAATTCCACAACACAAAACGTAAACAAACTTTTGGAGAGGAATGTGAACGACGACGACTTTTTGGAGTCAAGCAAAAACAAACTCCTTTTAAAATAGACCTTTTCTAGTTTTTCAAACATTGCATTATTCCTAACTGCCTTAGCTTGTTGATTTTAATTGCCATGAAGTCGTGATGAGATTATTGAAAGACGTAAAAATAACCTGCCAAAGTTGACAACCGAACATAAAACAGCTTGTTCATTTGATGGTGTTTTTACCTTCGATCTTGACCTCCCCGTTGGCATTTTTGGTCTTTTTAGACTTCTAAAAATCGTTATGAAGGTTACTCAGGGGTTAAAATAAGCTGAATGATTATCTATGTGGAGAAAAAAAGGTTTTAAAGTGGAGTAGAAGATGAGTTGTGTTGATCAAGATGACTTACTTGGTATCGAAGGACGCGTCTGGCTGGTCACGAGGGTCCTTAGTACGCAGGCGCACTAGGAGGAATGGAAAAAACATGGCGGACGCGGAAGGCGAAGATGAAAGGTCAGTAAAACCTCCCGAAGAACAAGAAAACCACGAGCCTAAAGACGACGAAAACCCACCAAGAGGCAAGCTAGATAGACTGAGGTCCTTCAGTACTGCAAGTCTTGTGGCTAGGAATAAGTTAGCTTCGTTAATCCAGATTGCAAGTGAAGCGGAGAGCGATGGTAAAACTGATCATAAGAAAGTTGCGGATAAAGTGTTTGACTCGGTAGGTGGAGTGCTTGTAAACAACCCTCTAATGAAGGGGAAACTCTCTTGTCTGTAGCTCAAAGAGCTGACACAACGCAAAACAAAGGCACGGCTCTTAGGAGGAAATCGTGAGCTCCACTTAGACCCCACAACCGCTCTGTTATTTTTGGTCTCATTCATACAATAACCATACCACAAAACTCCTCCCGATTACAATGAGCGCTCGTTCATTTGCGAAAAAAAATCCTTTACATTCTGTTTCCTAAAATACTTTTCTTGAATTTCCATAGCTCGTGGGAGGAACATTTGATCTTGAAGGTCGCTTTACCATCCAAGATTCAGCTGACTTACTGATTTTACTAGAGCTTCTTGAACACTGTAATGTCTCACTCAAGGTAACTTGCGTGTGATCTAATATAATGATTAAATCTAGTTCTTGAGGTCTAAAATCCAATATTACGAAATTATAGGCCCTTGGTATTAATTTCCTATCATATCTAGCGAAACCATAGAGTATATTAAGGGAAAACCAAAAATCTCATGATCAGCACAGCCACTATAAAAGTATTTTAAAATGTCAATTTTTGATCTTCCACTTTTTCCATTCTTTTTCTAAATATTTCATTTAAATTTCGGCGTTGTAAGTAATACTGATTTTTTATCTTTGACAAAAAGTCTTTATGTTTCATGGCAGCTGCATTCTATTTTGACATACATGTATTGTTCTTGACGTTTTCTAATTATTTGGCTATGATCTGTTTAGAGAAACCTACATATGTATCTAGAATATTTTGTAAGCTAGTGAATTCGATTTTCCCCATTCACTCTAAGGTTTAATTGTGTTTTTGTGTTTGAAATTTCCTGGAAACTTATTGTGCATTGCGAAAAGCTTATAAATTGATCATTCTTCACCAGAAAACCATTTGTAGAATTCGATTTTAATTTTTTTTAAAACATTGCATTTCATACAAATTTTAGATAAAAATTTTAAAAAAATGTTAATTATGCAGTTATGAGAATGACGACTAACAAAGTTGTTTAGAAATATAGTTTTAGATATCTACATGTACCTATTTAGTTTCTAGTAATGCATTTTTATTGACCTACTTTGAGAAAGTACAGTAAAAAGATTTTTGAATTAATGAACCAGTGAAGAAGGAAATAAATAAGCTAAAAAACAGCTACAATTTCAAAGCCAAAAAATAAAGTATTTTCTTTTATTTTCATTCTCGTAAAGAAAATGTTAAACATTTATATATTTTTTCATTAATTAACACGTAAATGCCTGAAACAACCTCTGAGCAAAGTCAGTGCAAGGCTGATTTGACATGAATAAATCACTTGTATCAGATTATAATATACACATTTGAAATCTTCTTATTTGTGGAAAATATTGATTCTTTTTAAATGGAAAAAAAATATTAAAATACTAATAATTATATTTAGATATCCAAATACTTGTGAAATTGTTCCAAATATTTATTAAGTTTTTATCTGTGAAATTTAAAATTTTTTTAAATGTTTATGAATTAACAAAACATGTTTTGTATTTTCTGTACATGTTTTGAATGATGTATTGTTCTAGATTTTCTTTTCTTTTTAATTCAACAACAAATTGAATTTTGTCATTGAGCTATGAATAATAACATAAAAGTGGACATCTTAGAATTTGAAGGTTAGTGTTCTAACTAAGGATGGAGTGTTAATTAACTTTCTTCTTATTCAGTCAACATGAAAAATTTTCAATTGTTTTTAATTGATAAAACTTGCATCCTTGTGACATATCTGATAGCATAATATAACATAACTGAAATATCTATTTTAAATTTGCTCAGTGATATTGTTTTTAATGGTTAATATTAACTTAATATTCATAATTATTTTGTAAGTTTTAGATCATCAATTCAAAGTCTAGACAGTCATTTCATATGGCTTTTATATTCTTATAATCATAAGTTATAAGGATGCATTCAGATATTTAATGAACTCAAAATGTATGAAATTTCATGTTATGACGTGTGCAAGTAAAAAAATTAATGAATGAACACGCAAATAGACTAAACAAAACAAAAAAAATCAAGGTATGATATTTTAAGTTTAGGCTCTGCTAACCATTATAATATTAATGAGATTCATCTAGTTGAAAAAATAAAAAATAAAAACAATATTTACTGAACTCAAAATGTATAAAATTTCATGTTATGACGTGTGCAAGTAAAAAAATAAATAAATGAACAAGCAAATAGACTAAACAAAACAAAAAAATCAAGGTATGAATTTTAAGTGTAGGCTCTGCTAATCAATATTAATGAGATTCATCTTGAAAAATAAAAAATTAAAAAATTAAAAAAAATGCTATGTTTATAAATTAATAAATGATTTTTTAATGTGCAAATGAATAAGGTATAATTATAGATCTGATTGTGATGAAAGGCAAATCATTCGTTAGCTTTTAAGCATGAAATAAGGAATTGTTCATACTAATAGTTGATTAGATAATGAACATTACATTTTGTGCAATGAAATATATTTCTTACTAAAACTTTTGAGTATCATGTAGTTATAAATAAAATTCTGATAATTATTATTATGATAACAATAAATTAAAATAGTTTTCATTCAATTTTGTTTGCAATTTTGTCTACATATTATAAATATCATATACATTCAATTGAAGAATCGTTGCTGGGTTCAGAAACATAGAACATAGACTGAAGTGGCATATGGGAAGTATGTTAATTAGATGCATGCTGTGACCGGCGACCCATGGCATCATCCATTGTTTTTAATACACATTTGCATTCTAAACCGACTGCATGGATGGCGTAAATGAATAAATTATAATATAATTATGTCATTTCCTATGTGCCATTTCGGTATCAGCTTCTATGTTCTATGTTTCTGAACCCGACAATGATTCTTCAATTGAGTGTATGCATGATAATGAAGGATTTTTAGCATGTTTACCAAACTCGTTGATTACCTACTGTAGGCATTTTTTGAAAATAACATGTCTTATAAAATAAACAAGACATTTATTAATGAAACTACAGTACCATTTCTTTGAGTTCAGTGGCACTCTATATTACTGCACGAGAAAAGAAATAATTATAATGATAAAATATTCATTTAACGTCACCAACCCCCTTTAACAAAATTGCTTTCATCCTAGATTTTTTTCAATACAATGTTATTGATGGTCCTTGATGTTCTGTTGTAGCTTGTGCCACAGTTGGGCAGCAGCTTTACTACACTGTAAATGCATGATGACCAGATATGATTTTTAAATGGAAAGCCGGTTTCCTCAAATTATAACTTCTTGTTTGATGGGTGGAGAGATGTGATGAAGTGTATGCCTTATATCAAGATATTTTAGCTTTTATGAAACTTTTTTTAAAACATATATTGTATTGTATATTTTCTTTTTATTAGGTTGAAATACTTGGTCTATTGATTGCTATTCTAAGGAAAAGTGTTCCTAACCTCCAGGCAGCTACTAAAATAGGATTAATTGAACGAATTCTTAGCCGTCTGCCCACTGAACCAGAAATAGTGGCTCGTAAGTTATTTAAAATGTCATAATTGTTGTTGATATTTAAGAAATGTCAGTCTTTTGCATCTAACATGAGACAGCAAAATGTTCATGTTAAAGTACCAATCTGGTTCCTGAAATTTGTATATTTGTCTTCTAAAAATGTTAGCATTTGTTGATTCCAGAGGTGGTCTCGTTTGAAATTCACACAAATGTTAAGCTTTTAGCTGTCAAACATTGTAGAAAGTTTTTAGGACCCAGTTGGAATATGTTTTGATGTCTGGTGTTTGCACCTAGATGCAAATAAACTGAGTATGCATATTGAGGGAATATCATATTTTTATACCTTGTTTTATGGCCTGATTTAAATACCACGCATGACACAAATACCACAATACAATAACATACATGTACATGTATATTCTATTATTAAATAACTGTTATGAATCTGGCATTCTGATTGGTTGGGAGCGCGTGCTTTATGAGAGCACACAGCATGTGCTCTCACTTTTAGTACAGCATTCCTATCTAAAATAGCGGTTATTGTAATTTGTATTTTATAAAGAAAATAAAAAACATGCTTGCTGTGCTGTGTGGAGTTATAAAGCACTTGGGGATTGGCAGAATGCTCGAGGAGTGTCGAGAAGTACTCCGCTATGCGTCGTGCTTCTCCTAACACTTCTCTCGTGTTCTGCCAACCCCTGCATGCTTTATAACTGCACACAGCATGCGCGTGTGTTTTCTATTTCTTCATTTAATACAGTCATATGAAAATGGCTTAAAAATTTTATTGATTGTTCATTTATTTTATAGATAAGCTTGTGGAGTTACTAGGAATATTGTCCAGTTATAGTATTACAGTAAAAGAACTAAAGAACCTACTTGGTGCATTGAAGGGAGACCAAGAGTCATGGGTAATAAAAACTGGTACCTTATATACTATTATTACTGTATAATAATCAGAAGCAGAATTATGATCAGGGGAAGGGTGAGGAGGGATAGGACCCCCTGTCATAACTGAAGTTCAGTTGATTGTTTTAATTAATTAACTTTGTTTATATAGGATAACAGTAATTCAACTGATAAACTTGTGGCACCTGTAGTTAATTAGGGAAGGGACTGCCATTAACATGATCATCCAAGCCACGTTAAGGTAGACCCTAACCATTTGCAGGCCTCAGTTATTTTAAGACCCTGATTGTTGGTCGGCCAAGGCTTGAACCACGACCTCCCGCACCAAAGCTCTTACCAACTGAGCTAACTGGGTGGTGGTAAATTATTCATAAATTCTCATAATTTTAGAATAATTTTAGAATTTAGATAGTTTTGCCAGGTTTAAAGTAAATCTTGTATCTTGTATCCCTTCTGGATCTGTCCTTGGTAATAATGTTTTGCAAATTAAAGGGTTTCACTCTTTTCTTAAAAAATGGTATTTAATAGTGGTTTATCAAGCATTTCCTGATATGTCTTTCTTCAGCCACTTCATGCTATAAAGCTACTGAAAGTATTGAAACTGATGTTAGAGAAGCATGGACCAGATGTGTACTTCAACTTTACTGGACAGGATGGAGCTGTAAGTACATATAGTCAGTAACTAGTATGGGTGTAACGATGCTTTGGAATATCGATTTATCGCAATATTAAAGCCACGATAGTGATGCATTGATGGAAACATTGTATTATCGATAACTATTGTGATAGTTGACTTTGACTATCGATTGTATCAATTGTCTCACTCTGAAATGATAAGAAACATAAAAAATTGTTAGTAGACAATGTGTGGTGCACAAATTACTCATTTTGCTGCTTCAGATTACGCCTGCTTGAATAAAATCTCACAAAACACTTCTGTCGAGTCACCATCTTTAAAAGTGTGAGAGCCTGGTAACAAGGATTTGGGGAAGCATAAAATTCAGTCCAAGCTCGTCCCCAGGGCCCTCTACAAGCTCTTGAAGAAAAACATGGCGACAAACAAAGGCATTTCTATTTTCTATAATACACATCAATTTAACTGCAAGTTTCCACTATCGCAATACTATCGCAATATCTAGTCTACTATCGCAATACTATCGCAATATTATTGTTGGAACAAATATTGCAATGCTATTGCATTAGGGAAAAAGTGCTCAATAGTCACCACTAGTAACTAGTGGGTTGATACATTGCATAGGGTAGAAAGCAAAATATTCCTGTTATACTGTAACTACTGTAATATAAACACTCCTTGTCTGTCACAGGCTATCACTCTTCCTCCCATCTCCAAATGGCCACTGCAGAGTGGCTTTACATTTTCTACCTGGGTTTGTCTTGACACTTCACACATGGCTGATGCTCCGAAATGTAAACCATTTCTTTATTGGTAAGTCTGTATCTGGATCCTTTTATTGGCCAGTTCTGGGTTAACTTGGTTGTGATATATGTGACTCTATGTGCTGGAGGTTGAATTTTTTTTCCTATGAGTTAAAACCATGGATATGTCAAAAAAAGTTTACAAAAAAAATCTATTTTACATTGAACATGATTGATCAGTCTCCTGAATAAGAGGCCCACATTTTATGATTTGGATGAAAGATAGAATTGGAATTTAGGAATTGATTTTTGCAAAGGGAGGACAACTGAAGAAAAACCCTTGAAACACGAGAGAACTGACAAGCAACTCCATACTCATACATATATGACAACAAGCCCATAGTGCATTTAGCACCACACACCTTGTTTCTCTTATTTATAAGACCTTCCAATAAAAAATGGTCTAATTTCCCGATCCCCTGAAAATTGACTAATTGTTTATTATTGTGAATTTTTTCATTAGTTTTCGCACAGGCAAAGGCCTTGGTTACTCTGCTCACTTCTCTGGTCCAATGCTTGTACTTGAAGCAGCTGTGAAGGCTGGCAAAAAGGAGAACAAAGTCCACACTCATCTTGTCAAATTTGATTTCCGCCCGCAACAGGTAGATTCATGTACATCACTTTGATAAGTACAGTACTTTTTCTGTTATTGATTAGAATTTTTAAAATTCTTTGGAAATTCTTAATTTGGAATTTTTTTAATATGCTCATATTCAGAGATGAAAAAACATAGGGAGTACGTTTGTGGCAAAAACAGTCCTTAATTTCAGTTCTTAACCAGTTCTGTATTTCTTAAGATGCTAAATTCCATCATAGGAGTATCACTTCTTTCTCTTCCCCTTCCTCTTACTCTGTAGATAACGCGGAAGTTCATTATAGGGTACTCTGCATCTTGGCAGGTTATCCCCTAACAATCATTTACTGTAGTACCCATATATACACATGTAAGGAGAAATGTACTGTACCTTCTGGTCGAATTTTATCACTGCCTGGAAACGATCTCTGACTGATCAAAGTCAGGGTATGGCAAACTCTCAGACTGGACCCTGAAACAACCTCTAGGCTGATCTAAGTCAAAGTTGAGCTAATTGACTCACAGATGGAGTTATAATTTATCGTTTTGAAACTGGAAAAACTTGAGAAATACCACATGTGATGCCAAGTTTGAAATAGATCCCAAAAGAGAGATGTGCATGCGCTAGACAGCTTCATCACTTTGAGTCGAGCATTTTTAAAAATCCCCTTATTTGAATCCTGGTTTCTATTTTCAGTGGTACATGGTTACAGTAGTGTACACTTACAACCGATTCAGGTCCAGTGAAGTGCGCTGTTTTGTCAATGGAAAACTTTCGTCATCAGGAGATCTGACATTGCTGCATACTAATGAAGTAAGACATCCCTCCCCTAGATCTACCAATGTATTTATACATTTATTATAAGGGGCCAACCTCTAGTTAGTGACCAGTGTTTTATGATTATTTCCCGATGATGTTTGCATTAGAAGTTTGGTGGACAGGTAATAATATTTTTTCTACATGTTATTTATCAGCCTTTTGACAAGTGCTACATTGGGTCATCCCCCAAGGCAGATGTGACCAGTGTCTTCCATGGCCAAACAGCTGCTGTCTATGTGTTCTCAGACGCCTTAACACCTAATACTATAGCAGCTATCCACAGACTGGGTCCAGGATACATGGTAGGAAGCCTTATTTTATGCTGAATATGATTCCCACATTGCCACGTACAATGAAATTTTAGATATTTTCAATTGTTTTTAGTGCCAATTGTATTTGTGAATAGCAGCTGCAGGGTGATTCCCTGGGTTCCTAGTCATTGTCATTGTTTCTAGTCATTGTCCTTCAAAGTGCGGGAAATATCATCCCAATGATGTTGGTCTATTTAGAACATTTTTAACATTCCTATGATACAGCCCCCCCCTCCCCCCTCCGCCCTTGAAGGTTTTCCTCTTTATGATTGCAACAAATGTTTCTGAAAAAATTCAATGGGGTCGATCACTTTATAAAAGTTTTATGGTATTTATTTGTGTTCTTTTTTTACAGGGACAGTTCAAATTTGCAGCGGAAATTGATATTCCTATCTCAGAGCAAGACAGAAGGGTACGAATGGAATTGAATTTCTGCCAGCCTAAGCTAAGTTGCATTCGCATTGTATTTCATCAAACAATCATTTGTTTTTTTCAGGTTCTCTATGATGGACATCTTGCATCAAGTATCATGTTCATGTACAGTCCTAAGTCGTGTGACCAACAGTTGTGCATGGAAGCCTCACCTACTGAAAACACCTCATATTTTTGTCATTCCCCTCACGCACTTATGCTTGAGGTAAGGAGAAAAATTGTGCCATGCACAGGATATATAAGGGATGGATCATTAGATCATTTAGGAGGAGGAGGGGGGGGGGTGGCGTAAATCTTAAATCTTAAAATAATATCGAGCAAGCACTTCACCTATGAAAGATATATTGCACAACCTCTCCTCTTAGTAAAGAAAATCAAGCCGGCACAAAA